GTATGTAAACAATGCCTTTGATGTAGGTGAAACATAGAAGAACCCAGCAAGAAATTCAGCTTCAAAGGCTGTTCTCTGCAGCAGACCCGTTCTGCCAGACTTCGTGTCTGCGAAGATCTTTTGAGTTCTGTATGATAAGCGGCCATTTTGAGTACATCAAAGAGTTCTCTGTACTCAAACAACAGAAAATCTCTGTCGCATCCTGGTGTTATCTTACCACTTGTAGATAATAAACAATGGTTTTGGCGGTAAATGAATGGGTCACTGTTCTCTTGTAAACATGGGCAGAGTCATGTGATGGGCCAAAGTCTTGAGGTAAACAAAGTCTGGATTTGACATTCCAGTTCAAGTTATTGCTACAGGCTGAAGGATCGATAAGACACTAACCTCAAGTCTCGCTGTTTAAATCTGCAGCTCCATGTGTTTACAGCTCCAAAACACAAGTCCAGTTGKTTCATCTTTTTACTTTTCATTTTCCACGTAGATAATTTGATAATAAATGTCCAGCCTGGGTCGGAGAGTATCAATCCTAAAGTTCGATACTCGGTCGATACTTTTTTCCAGCTCGTGTCTCAAACCCATAATAAACAGTCTCAAACCCATAATAAACAGTCTCAAACATGTCTCAAACCCGTAATAAAGTCTCTAACCCATAATAAATAGACTCAAACCCATAATAAAGTCTCAAATGTGTCTCAAACCAGTCTCAAACCCATAATAAACAGTCTCAAATCCATAATAAACAGTCTCAAACTAGTCTCAAACCCATAATAAACAGTCTCAAACCCATAATAAACAGTCTCAAACCAGTCTCAAACCCATAATAAACCAGTTTTAAAATTGTCTCAAACCCATCTTATACTAGTCTCAAACTCATGACATATAGTCTCATATTGTCAAATCTATCCCAAATCTGTCTCAAACTCATCTCAAACAAGTCATAGACCTGTCTCAAATCTGTCTCAAACCGGTCTTAAAGCTGTTTGATAATTAAGACACTTTGTGGCTAAATGTCAATGAAATCATGTTCGGGTACGTGTAAAAACCTATGCTGTCCTGACTTTGCCGTCTTACTGTGTTCTTGTGGGAGAAGTTGAGTTGTCGGGGGTCTTTGAGGACGAGATGTTGACACTGCTTCCCTTCAGGGTTCTTCTCCTCCAGATAAACTCTGAAACCTTTAATGTGTTCGATTCCTGCAGAGATGGTACAAAAAGTTCAGATTCACCCACCTTTTTCCCCTCACACATATTCATCATCGTCCACTTTTCAGCTCCCTTTCCTTCCTTGTTCCAATCAAATCCCCTCGTTTGTGAAAGAGAAGCAGGTGATTCAACCTGAAGASGTTTTTATAACGAGTTCAAGAAAAGATGACCAGTTTCCAGACCTGGTTTCCTGTCCTCCCACCTCCTCCTCCTTGTTCTCTTTAAAACACATCTGTTTTATAATTACACCTTTAGATCCACAGACATGTTTTCTCTATTAGCTCCACAACAGACAGAGTGGAAGAACTGGTTTTTGTGTCTTCAGGCAGATTTCTAAACTCCTCTTTTTTCTCCGCCATCGTCTTAAATCAGCTGCAATGCCTAAAAAGGTTCACAGATCTTAAAAAAAGTCTTAAAATGATTCAATGTAAGTTCAAACTCTGAACAAGAAGATGAGAAAATTTGACATTTTTGTTTCTTAGATCCTGAAACAAAAACTTGGTAGTAGCAGATAAAGGGGTACAAAGATAAACAGAGAGGATACCAAACTTTCACGAGGCTCCGTTACATTTTCTGCAAGATTTCTGCCTCCATYAGAAAACAACAGCCTGTTTTGTTAGAGAGAAAGAGAGAAGGCTTTACCTTTCACACACACACAGATGCGCGCACACACACATTCCTTCACGGTCAAATCGTGGTATTGTTGTGTGAGATGTGATCCTCTTTCTCTCCGGCTCCGGCTCTGATCAAAGGGAGACACAGAGCTCGGTAACCTTAGCTCTGTGTCTCATTTATCCTTCCTCGACTCTCCCTCTTTCACCCCTGAGTCACGCAGACAGACAGACAGACAGACAGACAGACAGACAGACAGACACCTGGACAGGTAACAGACAGGACCGTACCCAGCGGACTTGCAGACCAGTGGACCACCACGGCGGCCTGATCCTCGCAGGCCAGGTGGCTGAAGGAGATGTTGGAGACCTCGTGGATGATGTGTTTCCCCAGCGGATAGTTTAAGGAGCAGTCTGCAGAGTGAGGCAGGGGCAGATAAAGATGAAGGGAACAGAAGCAAACTTTAAAAAATAACGACATATTTCTGAATATTATAGTAGCAACGTATCAAAGAACCTTAAAACTCATAGGATTTTCAGTTCTGACACTAGGATCGAGTGAATCTTCAAAATAGTTTATTTAAAGTATATAATTCCAGCAGTTCACGTCTAACTAGCTTTCCAAACGACGACATGAGATCAAGAGCTGCACATGAAACCATCTTCAGTGATTCATTCATTCAAAAGACAGTGTAAGAGAATATCTGATTCTGTATTGAGAAGGTCAGAGGTGCACATCTTTGAGTTTCTCCTCCTTCCACAGCGTTTTATGAAAACTGTAATAGTACCACACCTTTTGTAAGCGGTTTGAGGTGGCCTCTAAGATTTAAGCCTCTGGGTGGGAGCTTCCCAGGAGAGGAAATAATTGACTTCAGTGGCGGTCAGCACTAGCGGTGCTCGTTTTTACTCCATTTTCAAAGAGTTTATGGTTTGCTGTGATCCCTGAGGCTCTTCAGTTTGTATTCTACACCTGTGTTGTGTTGGCTGGGATGATGGGCTGGTTTATTGAGATGTCTGGTGAGTTGGTTGGTTGGTGAAGCCAGGTATATGAACTAGACTGACTGACTGACTGACTGGTTGGTTTTGGTTCAGAAAATTTGTTGCCTTGTTGGTTACAAAGGATGGTTTGGTTGGTTTTGATTGGGTTATTTAGTTGGTTATTTAGGACGGTTGTTTGGTTGTCTGGTCTAAGTGCTTCCTAGGCTAGGTTGATTGATGAGTTAGGTTGACTGGGTTATTTTAATGTTGGATGGCCGTTTTAAAGGTCGGTTGGTTGTTTTAATGGTATGGTTGGTTAGTCGTTTTAAATGATAGATTTTGTTTGAGTGGTTAGTTATTTGTTTTAATGGTTGGTTGTTTTGTTTTAATGGTTGATTGGTTGTTTTAATGGTTGGTTGGCTGAAATGATGGATTTGTGTTGGCTGTTTTAAATGATAGATTTTGTTTGAGTGGTTGGTTATTTGTTTTAATTGTTGGTTGTTTGTTTTAATGATTGGTTATTTGTTTTAATTGTTGGTTATTTGTTTTAATGGTTGGTTGTTTTAATGAGTGGTTGGTTGAAATGATGGGTTTTGGTCAGGTGGTTGGTTGTTTTAATTGTTGATTGGTTGTTTTAAATGATAGATTTTGTGTGAGTGGTTAGTTACAGTATTTGTTTTAATGGTTAGTTATTTTAACGGCTGGCTGGCTGAAAAGATGGGTTAGTTGGTTGTTATATCGGTTGGTTTGTTGGAATGAGTTAGGTTGGCTGCATTTTTGAAATCTTTAACAACTGAATCACGTTATTTTTTGTTTCCCAAACTTCTCTGATTTTGTGAAGGACGAAGACGAAGGCAAAGAGGAGGATGAGGAGAAGCCATGCGTGAAGTGAGAAAGATCGGAGGAAACAAAAAAAAAAGGGGAGGCGTGATCTCAGACACGACTGACTGCTCCCCTTTCCTCCTGCCAACCACCTATTGATGGAGGTGAGGAAGAGGAGGAGGAAGATGATGGGCTCAACACAAGTCGCTGCTCCTCTTCCTCCTCCTCAGAGCTGGGTCATGTTCAGGGCTGCAGGAGAAGGTCACAGCTGGCTGCTCCTCTTCCTCCTCCTGCGTCCTCCATAGAATTTAGAAAGAAGGGAGTTCGTCACTCCTCTTCCTCCATGTTTAATCGGTGTCTTCAGAATTAAAGGASAAAAATGAGAGTTCACCGAGGGATGAAGAGGAGAAACTCTTCRTCATAAACTGTCACCTAAGATTTAATATCGTTTAAAGACAAGTTAATGTGAACTCTTTAATTTAATTTCCATCAGGAGGTCAAAGGTCGCCCCGCTTWACGCTCCTCATGACATCACTGCAAACACAGAGGAAGCACAGCTCCTCTTCATCGCCTTTTATCCTTCGTCCAGCTGGAGGAGAGGAACCACTGAGGTGTGTCACACCTCATGCTCCACTGATCCACTCAGAACCGGGACCATCAGAACCGTAGAATCACATGACCTCCTGACCCCCGGACWGCCGTCGATGTGATGCACGCTCAGCAGAAATAAAACAAAAATCCTTTTTGGAAAGAAGAAGAGCAGTGTGTGCACAAAGAATAAACAAAACATGAAGCTAAAACCAGGAAGTGGTTAACTTTATTTTATTTTGTGTTTATTCTTTCAACCTAAATTTATCTAAAAATATGTTTAAATATGTGAATAAATAACAGAAAACTGATTACATCTGAAATAAATCAGCCGAGTCATCAGTTTTCTGATGGACAGACAATTTAAAAGCACTTTAAACGAACTTAGCTTTTATTCCAAGCTAATTTTAGACAAAAACAGGAAGTCAATAAATAAAAAGGCCATAAAGTGATTAAGCTTCTTACTGGGCTTTTATTTAAGTTGTAATCTGTTGGAAAATTATTAGAATTTATAAAATTAATATTAAAAATACAAACAAAGAACTCAGTTAACAGTTAGAAAGTTGAAAATGAGGTCAAACAGTGACTTGATTTGTTGAAAAGTTTGTTACAAAAGCTGTATAGCATTTTGTTTTRGGAATTTAAAAAGGCACACACACGCACACACACACACATACACACACATACACACACGCTGTGACACACAAAGGAGGATTTTAAAGTGCTTCCTCGCTCATGGTCACGGACAAAGGCAGAAGGAAGGGATTGGCCACGGCTCAGGAACTTGACTTTAAGTGAGGAGAAGAAGAAAAGATGAAGGGGAGGCGGAGGATAAGGGGGGACTTGTAGATTTTTTTCACTGGATAAGAAAGAAAAACACGTTTATTCTCATATTAAATCAAACTTTAAAAGAGAAATTAGTGTTTTTTTAAATAAAAGTGACAAAATACTTCCTTTGTTGTTGCTTGTGACAATAAAAATACTTTGTTTATTTTTTACATTTATTTTGCTTGAGTTACAGGTTTTTGTTTGAAACSTAGCTTTGAAAAACCTGCATTTAAAATCTTATGTTGAGTTCAGTCGTTAAGAAAATAAATTCATAACGTCACCACAGGGTGGCAGTACAGGCTGCTGAACACATTTTAATTTAGTAGAAGTAGCTGTTTTAACTCTTTATCTTCTCCTCTTGTTAAAAACAAACAGTAACTGTTYGGTGTAAAAAAAAAACTTACTGTCAGATCTCAAGGTGACGGCGAGCCTGCGAGCGCTGTCTGTTCCAAAATGTGCCTGCAAAAAACAAATATTAGATGCTTAAATTAAAACCTTTACAAACAGAATATAAAGAAAGATTCTTTTAATTGAAACTTCATCTGATATTTTCTGAGACGAGTTAAAGTTTGAAACATCTGTTCTCAGGCGAGCTGCCGTTACCCACAATCCCCCAGTTCAGACCCTCTCTCTCTCTCTCTCTCTCTCTCGAGGCAGTTTTCATCAGGACTCTCTCAGTTTTATGGCGTTCACATCGTTTTTATGTCGTCCTGCACAAACACACACACGCAGCTTTCCAGCTCGGGGCTCGTTAACGGCGTCAGACTGAAGGTCGCATGAAAAAAAAAMMWWAAAAAAAACTGCACACCTGAATCGAATCAGACACCCAGCTGTGTGCGAGCGCATGCTTTAGGTGTAGCTCGCCTATTAGCAGCCACCGTACCACAAACAAGCCGAACACATGCAAACACCGACAAATGTGGGTAATTACACACATGTGAAGACATTCCTCTGGCTTTAAATCAAACAGTAAAAAAGGATTCTGCTTTTTTTTTTAAACAAAAGAACGGTGACATAAAGGGAAACGTCTCGTCGTGAACAACGCGTCTTCAGTTTGCATCAGCGGGCTTACTGACTTCTGACCTTTAGGGGTTTACAGGCCGCTGCCAGCAGAGGTCCAGAGAGTTCATTAAAGTCACAAGTTTATACATTTACTTCATTACAGCACTTAAAGTAATTTTTTTGAGGATTTGTAATTTTAAGTATTTTTTAATCATACTTTTACTTTGTTACATTTAAAACCTAAAAATGATACACTGGCTTCTTTCCTTTAAAATTTAACACTTGTTACAAAATTAAATCTGTCTGAACTCATCCTTAGAGGAGCTGTTTCTGCACT